TCAGCCAACAGCTGCATTTCACCCCCACGACCAGTCAATCTCTTTCCAACCAACCCGCCACCGCGCACAACCTCACAACAATGTGACCCCACTCAAGTCTACAACATTCGCATCCCACTACAGGGACATGCCACACTGACAGCCATCGGACCGATCTCAGCACCACCCTCTTCAGCATCAAACAGTACACCCACCATCTACTACATGCCTACTCCGACCAACATCCGGCCGAACCATCCGGAAGCGGGCACGGGCCCTCCTGGACCCTGGTGGGATGATGCTGGAGCTCCACCGTGAGAGGGCATTAGACCTGATTTATGGTTTTTGACTCAATGTATATAGCTCGCCGATATTGCCAGCTACTGCAAAACATCCCCAGTACTGAGGTTTCCATGATTTCCAAGTTTTGGTTTTTCTGCTGTCTTTACTTACTCGTTGTATTGACTAGATTGGCCTTCAACAGACGACTTCACTAGAACACTCTAGCCATTGTGGTTCAAAAAAAGTTTCGACTACTCCTCGCCTTCAACGTTCTTTTTGCGGGACTCTCTTGATCCCCATCATGGATGCGCATCAACAATGGTGGCAACACTATTACGGTACTGCAACACCCAGCGCCGGCTATGGACCCCTAACAAATGCAGTACGTCATCACTACCACCATCCTTATCACCACCCTCACACAACCAACACGACCGACCAATCTACAGTTTCCCCAGCCCCAGCCGCGGCGTTCCCTCCAGAACCCCTTCCCCCACCCCCGGCATCCCACCATCCAACGCCTCCACCACTTGGCGTTGTAACCCCCAATATCCCCACCTTACCAGACACATGGACCCCCAGCGACACACACCTTGACATCAATACAGTACATGGTCAAACATTATTCCGCACGATCCAGCCGACACAATGGTCCAGAAAATACAATCTGGCAGGACAGCCTGTCTTGGACATCTTTCCTTGGCAGCTCAGTCGCTTTGGCCTACAAGACCACAGCCTTCGTACTTTATCCCAAGGACGGTACACTGGCATCGTGACCACCAGGTCTATCGCAGAAGCAGTGTTCACCTCACAATTGTTGCCAGAGATGCGAGCCCACAACCTGGACACTGACAACATTGCTGAATATTTACACCAACAAGCTAATCAATCCATTCCAAACAAAACGACAGATGCCAAGCAATTTATGCAACCACTCATTTCCCGCGCGATTGACTTCCTACGAGGCCTCACACCACCCGCAGGCGAAGGTACAGCACTCCGAAAACTTCAACTACAGACAGATCGCCTACACCAGCAAGAGAGCGAACTCCAGCGCGCTCGCGACAAATTGAAGACTCATGGCATTGCACTTACACCAACAAAACCAGGGACACACCCCGCCCCATCATCAGCTTCCCAACCCCGTCTCCCACTTACAGCCCCAGCCGCGCTCACAGCTAACACCATTCTCAACCCCACCACTCAAACACTACAAGACAACTCACCAGCCAACTACACGGCAGCAGGCATTCAGAAATGGCTCAAGACACTACCACCAGCCACTCAGACACAAGTCACCAATATCCTGCAAATTCTTCGAGACGAACGCATCACAAAAGAACAGCTCCAGGAGGCAGCCACACGCTATGGCATCCCGCTCACCCGGGTGCTTAAGCTACCACCACGTTCACTACAGCAGCTGGTGGCAGCGGGTTCGGCATTAGCAGCCTGACTCGCTCAACAAGCGCTGCGTCAACCAACACATCTCACTTTACAATTCTTGACTACACTTCACACAGCACTTTCACACTTTGTCCACTTCACACCCTACATTGACAAGACCCACGCGATCTTTTCCATCAGTCTTATTCACCTCACATGCCTTTTTGCCTTTCCATCTCAAACACACCACTCCATACAACGGCGCTCACGTTTCAACCAGCTACAAGTTACCCCACACACCTACCATTACCACATGTTCACACATCCCAATGCAGTTTACGCGAAACTCTTCTTCAATCAGCACCACACCACACACCAATACCACCAGCATGGGCACACTTACATCGGCTCTACCAGCATCACCATTCCGAAGCGAGAATACAACCGCCACGCCAAACTCAAACAATTACACAACAACCACCCAATTTCAGCCGAACTATCCCTACGCTATTGGCATTCCAAGAACAACCTCCACCACTACAGTACTATCTACCTCTCCCACCACGATGCCTACGATCAAGCTTGGATTTACGAACACTTGCGGATTCAAGAATGGCAACCCACCCTCAATTGGCCATACATTCAACGACACCTCAAACTCAAGGCCTCTGGCTGGCAATTTGCAAAACATCGCACCACCTTCACACGCATGTCCACTCACAAACGTCTTTTCCAACGGCTTCGACGACGACAACACACCATCAAACAGCCGCGCCTCCACACAAGTCAACGCTTGCACGCCTTGACGGTCCTACGTGAGCTCAGCAAACATACACATTCATCTTTTGAAACTTCAACAGCCATCCGCAGCGGCAAATACACTGATCTCGAAATCTATGCCTTCCGACGCATGGCCGCCAGCTTAGAAGAACCAGATCGATCACGGGTCCTTCACCTTATACACTCAGCACTCAGCTTCCGCAATCTCACTCCACCAAAAGCCAACAAGCCCTTCACCATCCCCTTCCTCTCCCACAGTACTTTCTCATCCTCCACTGAAAAATGGCTTCGCACATTGATCCAACACCACATGCACCACGTCATTCCATTCCATCCACCCACCACAAAACTGCGCGAAGCAGCACACAAGACATTACGATCACGGCTGTACAATCACAAACGTTGGGAAGAACTTTTCTCAGCACAGCCCTCAGCGGCCGACATGCCATGCAGCTGCCCCCACATGCACTCCTTACTTCGACCCAACCACACACCGCTGCTCCACGATGGCCACTATGTGCTCACACTCGACGACCTACAGCTACCCAGCCATCTTCAAATATTTCTACAAGCCAACATGAACAGCACTTTCTTTCCCACGAAGACACAATACTTTCAACACTTCACTCAATGGTTACGACACCATGGTCTACCTACCGCCCTTCACCAACACAGCCTACCTTTTCTACACCAACAGTGGAAACAACACATCGACCACATACTGCGCACACCACGATTCACATCACGCAACGTCACCCAATTACAGCAGTTCCTCACAGACAAGCTGGTGTTGCATCACGCTGATCGCGAACTGCAAAATCTACGGCTTTTCTGCCCACAACACTATTTCCACGGATGTCTCACTACTTGGAACACACCACAACTCTTTCTACCACTACCAGACCTCACGGACCAACAACTGCACCAACTGCTCACTCAATCTTTCTCCGCCAACATACGACGAGCCTATCCATGGGGATTCCGCAAACAATTCTACACACCACATGGTGTAGTCTTCCTCAAACAAAAGAAGTCATGGCGAAAAGGAAGAACCGTCATAGGCTACTTCAGATCTATAGCAGGTACCCTTTTACGAGCTACCTCCAAGGCATTGGACATCATGCTTCTTCATCTTCTACCTCAACATCCAGGACAACTCTCCATACCCAACCTATGGCAGCACCTCCACAACCATTTCCAGACAACACCTGAAGACATTCACCTCACACCGATCAATGATGACCTTGTTGGTTTCTTCAACAGTGTACCCCAACAACGTCTCGTCGACGCAGTCATCAGCCTCTGCAATCGCTGGAAAGCCCAACGCCCAACTACCGCCATCACCATCGACGTACAATCCACCGGCAATCCCATTCAACACTCCCACATCGGTCGACACTACATCCACCACCCACAACAACGCACACTCGACACTCAACACATCCCCCTGATTGTACAACAAGCCCTTCAATCATGCATTTTTCAAGCCTGCAACACCTATTACAAGCAAATCCAAGGAGCAGGCATTGGCAGTCAACTTTCACCAGCACTCTGCAACGTAGCAATCACACTCATCGAACATACCTGGCAAACCACATACCACACCTTTTTACACCAACCCAGCCTTCACTTGCTCAACACACGCTACGTTGACAACCGCTATATCTTGCTAAACGAACAATACAGATCAGCACTCCCCATCACTACACTGGCCCATCCCGAATTTTATGAACACCCAGTCGAAATAGAGCCAGTGGACGACGACCATTAACTCGGTTTCCTGATTGATCCACTCAACAGAACGGTCACCTTTCAACTCCCCACACATCCCTGGCGGATTCGTGATCCGCAGTCAGCGGGAAGTCACAGACTACGCCTTTCAGGCTTACAGTCACGACACCACACACTACGAAAATACACATTTCCACCGCAGCTCGCACCTACCACAGCACAGCAGTTGACGCAGCTCTATATGACAAAAGGTCATTCAAAGGAACACTGTGCCGCGGCGCTGCGGCCACGAGGAAAAAGACGATGCGCCAGCAAAGTCACAGTACTTTATTTTACACTTCCTAATACACAAGTTCCTCTCCGTCTTTGAATTCCTTTTTCGACGTCTTGGTCTTCCATACCCTTCAGGTATTTTCTGATCCGGTCTAGTTGCGCCGATTCGGCTCTTTGTGTGTGTCCACTCCTGTTTCCAAGGACACTACTCTAGCTCTTACTAACTTTTCCTAGGACTTTCGTGACCATTGTACAGCAGCAGGGGGCACGGCGGCCGTTCACCTAGCCGTGCTAACAAAGCTATGGTGTTCGGTTGGATGAGATACTGGACGCAGTATCTTGTACCTGCAATTTTTAATTCTCACCCATTGATGCTTCTAAGTCAGTTCAACGCTGTCTCATACGTTGGTTTTGCAAAAAAGTGCTAATGCTCTCGGCTAATGCAGTACCTAAATGTAAAGTGCCAATGCTCACCGCGAAGCAGCCTGAAATCGCGCTCCACGGAGCAACCTTCTCAAGTGTGTGTGTGTGTGTGTGTTGCAATCATGAGCAAACACCGCAAAGAACCTGACTACTGCACGCAAGGCTGTGTCTTTCGTCTCTTCGCCTGTCGAGTGGCTGCCAGCTAGTTCCGAAGTCTCTCGAGATGATTAACTACTAGTAGCTTCTTGTTCCTAGTAGCAAGGCCAGGAGCCCCTAGTAGCGTCCTTGCTCCAAGTAGCGATGCCAGGAGCGCCTAGTAGCTTCTTGTGTGTGTGCCTTGTCTGTGCTTGATGTTTGATTTGAACACTCTTCCGGCCTAGGAAGCTTGGTGATGCTTTGGCAGCTGCACGAAGCTCAGCCAAAGCCCGTTGAAGGAGCGCATTTCCCAGACCACGCCGGCGTAGCTCGACAGGGGTGAACAACGGGTCGAGTCGTCAATCACAAAGTGAAATCAAATGAAATATCCTTGTGGCTTGAAGAGTTGTTGAAGAAGTAACAGTCTCTCAACATGCTCTCAAATCTGACCAGGCGAGCCCCAGGAAACTTATGGTTGAGATCCTCTGGGCCTGTTGACAACATCTCAGGGAAGCTGTCCTCTCCAATGGTGCCAAGACTAAGCACATAGCCCAGCTCCCGTCTCTCAGGGCCTTAAATGAGACGATACAAAAGGATACAACATGTTGCGCAGTCCTGGGAATCGGCATGAATCAAAAACACCTTAGGACGCTACTAGGGGCTCCTGGCCTTACTATTAGGAACAATGTTCGTTACTTGGGGCTCCTGGCCATACTACTAGTAACAAGAAGCTATTAGAAACAAGAAATAAGTATAGATGAATTAAAATAGACTTTAGATTAATTAGAATTTAAGTGCAGTCCTGGGAATCGGCATGAATCCAATACACCTTTCTACGTGCTACATCTAAAAATCTCTTCAACCTTGTGATGTAGGAGTACTGGGCAGGTGGCTATCCCAAGGGATGTACTTTGGGATGGTGAGCTGACTGCGAAGAATGTCCACAGTAGCTTCACCCCCAAGCTCCTCGACCAAGAAACGGTCAGGAAGTAGCTTGGCTCCGTGGAGTCATCCCGAATTGTCCGCAGACTCACTAGTCACTAGCGTTTCAGTAAAGGGTTGCTATTTTGATGTGATGTTTGCTTCGTGTTATTACTCCATTGATATTAAAGCGCAAAGAATGTCCGTCAAATTACGGTATGTCCGGCATTATTCTTACGAACTAGTAAGTCCACCATCGCATTGGGAACAAAACCAGGTCGGGACAACACCCCGAATCCCGAAAACCAAGTCCCCAACCCCGAAGACCTGGTTTCACACTTGTACCTTTAAAACGATCAAGTATGTCAAGTGCAAAAGGACATTCAAACCGAATCCCGAAAAAAACAAGAATGGGATTTGAATGTGAGATCAGGACCACAAACACCGAAAACCCAATCCTGACGTACTTCTCACCGCCTCTGGGGAGAGACACTTATAACTTACTTGAGCTGGGAAACACGAAAGGTAGAGACGGACCGGGTAGCTGTCGGGACCTTTTCTGGTGAGGGACTGTCTCCGGTGTTTCAGGAACGTGCCCCTTGGTCATTCATGGATGAAACCAACAAAGCCAGAGAGCACAAGAAGGCTCAAGAGGAACACCGTTGCGGTCAGATTGCGCCACACGGCTCTGCAGAGAGGCTGCGTTGCGTCGACGCTCGTTTGTGTAAAGGTGTGTGAAAACAGGCGCGCGTAAAAGTCGCAATGTGTAAACGCTCGCATGTGTACCAGCTATGGTCCCACAGCTGCACGCACTGTGTCAGGATTACAGGCCTGCACGCGTTGCGTTGAAGCCGCAGTGACCAACCCCCTTGTAAGGATAGTGCTGGAGGGGTGCGGCCGGTACTGCCAGGGATGGACGTCACGCTATGGTGGGTGTGCTCCACGATGCGGTAAGATTTCGCCACGCTAGGGTATACCCCTAAGATCAAATGAGTCTAAATTTACTCAAAAACTGAATTTAATCTTTTTTAGTGTTTTAGTCTTTAGTCCGGCTGGTAATTTAGTTCGGGGCTCCGGACTAAATCCAATTTAGTCCTGAGACTAAATAGACATTTAGTACCGGGACTAAATAGACATTTAGCCCCGGGACTAAATCCAATTTAGTCCCCGGAGCAGGTTGAACTCACAACATATTTGCTGTTCATTTTGACGAAACGTGATATTGTTAAAAACATTTTTTGTATTTTTGTGTGGATCAATTCGCAACAGCATGATGCAGTGCCCAATGAACACTGTCAAAAGCACTGCCTGACAGTAGCATGATACGTTTTTGGACGTGTTTGCAACAGAATGGATTTCACAGAGTGACAACAAAACAGAAGAAAACATTTAAAAAAAGCACAAACAACAAAACAAAAACAACAAAAGCCACACACACACACACACACAAAGTGTGCAGGCCGCCGCAAAAGTGTGGCAAAAGGCATTGTGGTGAATGTAACGTGGCCTTGTGGATTGGCTTTGGATTTGTGCCAAGTTCTTGCCTTCCAAACGTTCTTTCCTTTCAGGTTCTTGCCTTTCAAGTTCTTGCCTCTCAAAAGTTCTGTCCTTTCAGGTTCTTGCCTTTCAAGTTCTTGCCTTTCAAGTTCTTGTGTTTGTATCCAGTGTTGTTCTGGTTGGACGCAAGAACACGCAAGAACATGCAAGAACAACTCCACGGAACCCAAATACCTCAGCTGGATCCCACATTTCCGCCAAAAGAGTTTACAGAGTACGGTCATGCATACTGTACATTGAGACTCGACATGATGACCTCATCTTGCACCACGCCAGCAAAACATCATACTCGGCCTCACGACCATGAAGGTTTCGCCAAGAGGCAAAGCCATCTTCCCAAGGTTTTCCTCAGCTCAGTCACAGTAGCGTTCAAAACACGAATGCTGATCGAACACACATAACGCAAGAACATCAAAGCATCGAAACTACCAAGTCGTAGCAAGAACCTTTCAATTCAAGACCTTTCAAGCCAAAGAAAGGCAAGGCCTGACCGCAGCGCGAGCAGCAAATCAGAGTTACGCTGCAAGCCGAAACGCGTATGAAGGAGCCATCAAGAGCAGCAAAAACATCATGTGACATGTGAGCTGTTCATTCACTCCTTCCATGAATGAAAGAAAAATGACTCAACTTGATATGTTCGCAATTCTGTCGACAGTAAAAGGTAGAGAGTGACATCCATGTGGCAAGAACAAAGCAGGCAGCTGCATCAAACGCATCATTTGACATGTGAGATGTTCGTTCAATGATTCAATGAATGAAAGAAAAGGGACTCAAGCTCACATGGCGCAAGGGATGGACAGCCTGGCACTTTAACTTAATGCGCTTGCTTGAGCTAGGTTGTGTTCCATGTGAACTAAAGTCACACTTTTGCATGTCCTGTGATGCTGGTGAGACAGGTATGTGTGCAGACCACCTGCTGCCAATGTCACTGACCAATCTTGGGTGAGAGTGCCTCCTGCTTGGGGTCTTCACAGACAGGTGATCTATGCAGATGGAACCAAGCGCTTGTAGCTTTTCATGATTTGTTTGTAATATAAATTCTAATGCTTTTTGTGGTCAGCACTTTTGAATCAGAAGATGTTAGCATATTTGCTTACTCTTGCTTGGCATAGTTGTTGACATGTGCATTTACCTGAGGCACCCCATTGAGTGGGTTGAGCATTGCCTGTGGGAAGTGGGCAACCCATTGCATGACACACCTCCTAACACTGAGGCTTTGTTAATGAGTTGCTTTTCACAGCACCTTTGGCATGAAGTCTTTGTGACACCCATGCGTGTAGATATGCCTGTTCCCAATGTGGAATAGTGAAGCTGTGAAGCTTGGTTTGCTCTATGAAAATGCATATGATTGCTTGCTATCAAGAACTATGATGTGAGCTTTGTTAGGTTGCTATCAAGAACTATGTTGTTGGAGCAGGACATGCTTGTACATGAGCTGCATGGTGCATGGATACCTTTAATAGGTACATGAACCTTCACTATTTGTATATATTACTACCATGTACACTTTGAGATTCTTAGATGTCATGTAATGTATTTTGCAATGTGCTTGGCATGCTGCATGAATCATGTATTGGTGCTTTGTGGATTGCAACTGGCATTGTATAGTAGAGGTGCATGAGCTGTGGTTTCATGCAAGGGCTGTGTTTCCAAGGAGCTGATTGACTCAACATGGCCATTTGGGACCTTGTCCCACCCATGCAATGGAAGATGTCAGGCCTTCAAAATTGAGAAGACTTGAAGATTTGAGAAGGAGCAACCCATATGTTAGCTCCAGTGCTTTATCCAATATTGTGAAAGACATTCACAACCATGGGCTTCCAGAGCTTCACCAGCCTAAGCATATGAAACAAGCTCGAGACTCCAGGCTTGCTGAGTGCAGGGCTTATGGCCCTGTAATTGATTATGCACCAATCATGCACAAGGATGGAACTGAAAGGAAGCTTCTGCTCATTAACATGTTTTCATTGATGCAAGGCCTTTTTGAACAAGATGGTGCTTTTACTGCCTTGGTCAAGACCAGCCTGCACAAGTTTCCATCTACCCATTCTACACCATGGAGCTTGATATGCATATATGAGATATTTGCACTCAAGCAACTGAGCTTTATCAAGCCATGTGGCTATTCAACTTTGCCATGTGTTTGTCATGTAGGCCATGCCCATGCCATGTCCATGCATAGTTCAAGCAAATGTGCTTTATCAAGCCATGTGGCTACTGATCAGGGCGTGGTTTGTCTACATTTTATGGCAGCAATTTTGGACCTGTCAAAGCCCTGTCTATAGCATGCCTCAAGTTTGGATTGAGCAATGGGTTTGTCCAGGGACACTGCAGACCTTTGAGAGAATTTGGACAAGCACCTTTTGGAGGAGGGTTTGGACAACACTGGAAGAGAAGAAATACCACATCTGCAAGTGGATGGCAAAGATGCTCAAGTTGCTCAAGAGGAAGAACAACTTTAAGAGAAACCCCTACAAGGTGAGCATGATGAACAAGCACAAGTTCCAGAAGGTCCATAATTAGTTTGCTGTATAGCATCTCTTTCTTGGACCCTTGCAAAACTGCAAGGGTTTAGCAGGACATATAACAGTACCTTTGCAAATGTTTGTGGAGAAAACAATAATATGATAATTCAGTTTATGTGAGCAATGAACCAACAACTTTTCACGAAGCCTAAATGGCTTGAAATACATGTTGTGTATGTTTTTGGTTTTGATGTTGAACAAAATTACAACATACACCTTTGAAGTTTTCCTGTGCACATGGCAAGGGCCACATGGTAAACTTTACAAGTGGTTGTTCAGTAAAAGTGTGCAGCAAAGTATTTGCAGGATGTTTGTTTTCAATTTGACAGTTGCTGATTTTTCTGAATTTTGTTGTTATATTTTCAAGAAATCATATTTTTTTTACTATAGGTAGTGTTTGGTTGTAATCCATATAGATGCAGGATAGTATGTCTGGCATACATCTTAGTATGAATAAAAAAACAAACATCAGTACTTTTACATACACATGTTTTGCCTTTTGAATACTATTTTTGTATACCATAACCACTTATGAATTTAGCAATAATGTACATGATTGTAAGTGGTTATAACTTGGGCCTGTAAATGTTATAACACTTATATCTCACCTCATAAGTTCTAGCAAATGTTATAAGCCCACGGTTCATCCCAGTGGGTTGCTCCACCATCCAAAAGAGCTCGGCCTTCTTGTCGAACATCGAGGCTGCTGATTCTGATCGCCTTGACTGATGCTGCCGGCCTCAGGCTCTTCAGCAAAGTCGTCGCTTCCGTCAGTAGCTCCTTGACATCTCCAGAGCTTTCTGGCTGGGTCTTCTCGTTGGTGTTCATCACCTGCTCACCCTTCTGCTCCAGGTCGCCCTTGTTGTCTCCCAGACTCCACCTTCTTGACTACTGGCGCCGGATTCTGGTCTTCGCAGATCGGTCTGGTGAGTCTCGAATCTTGGCCATCTTTCCAGCCGAACA